AAATTCTCCTTGTCTGTAAGCTGATTAATTGCTCAACCTACTCCAGGTGAGATCTACCTCGGATGAACATCGCTCATCCTCTTCGTAAGTACCATGTGGGTAAAGATTCTGAAGAGCAACCCAAGCATGCCCGCGAATCAAAATGAAGAGAAGCAACGTTTCCGAGACTGAACGCATCGAGAACGTGGAGGTTCACTTTCAAGAAGCGATCCGCGTGTGACAAGGTGTGATAAGAGCCATATTGCCGTTTCAGGGTCTGGCATATGCAGGGTCTTCCTCTTGCCGGGTCCGGGCCTTCGCCTTGGTATTTTCTTTCTGTCAGTGTCGGGAGATATCAGGCGGCTGCACGAAATGATGCTTGAACAGATTGCTGGTGTTACAGCTTTGCATTGTAGCCTGAGCTAGATCTTCTCTTCTACTCCGACAGTATGTATATAAACCAACGTTTTTGGTCTTGAAAGCTTTACGTGATTGATATTCGGATCAGTTTCGTTGCCGTGGGGATGATGAAAGTGCAAGAACTGTGTTCCATAAGTAGCTGTAGGATATTTGCAAAGAGCAGCATCTACTTAAGACACCATATTGAATGGACCTGCATAGACGTGCATAAGTACATATAACAACTTGCACAAATTCCACATGTATCAGCTAGTACAGCCTGAGTAAGTCCGACTCCAAGAACAAGGAATCGACAAAGAGCGAGCCACATGACCGTGATCCGACAAGCGAATCGAACAAGATTTCAGATCTGAGACTGGCTAGGCGCTAGTTTGTTAGCGAGCCACATAAAGAGCACATGGAACAAGTGTTCCTCTCCAAGTTCCCCCATCATCTTGCTTGCTTCGACTCGCCATGTCACCAAAACGTTCCGTTGCTAGTCAAGATGATACTCCAGCTCACAAATGCCCAGGTGAGTCTATACGTCTGCTATAGACGCGCTAAATTCATATGGCTTCACACTAGTCGAGGATTGCTCTCTTATGATCGACGCCATAATTCGTTGCTCCGACGGCCAACACTTTGGGACACACGTTCAGAATCTCGAAGCTTTTTCCAGGGAATTTCGTCCCTCTCGCAAATCTGCCAGGTCGAAGAAGGATACTCTCCCTTCAATCAATGCCACCGAGAGAGGCGCTATAATCGGGATGCTCCTTCGTTTCATGCACAATACCCCTCACCCGGAATTGAAAGACGTTCCTCTCCAAGATGTACTTGATCTAAACGTTGCTGGGAGGAGATACGTGATTCATTCCGCCATATCTGCATCTCAGAAGGCGATGAAGTATGTGCCAGGCTTTCGTTCTTTTCCTCTCGATCATTCATCTATTACCTTTCTAGCGAACAAGCCCTAGATCAGAAACGTGGATCGTACGCCGCGCGAACGCGCGTTCTCCTTCACAAACTCCATAACAAAGAGGATTCCGACATTGACCATATCATGCGCAGGATGTTCTATGATAATTTGGAAGTGGAGGAGGGTAAATGTTCTGAGCCCGATGAGCTTGGTGACTTTGTGGGTCAATTTTATGACGAATATAACGCTTTTGTGAGTTCATCAATAGTCGTTTCGAATCTCAAATGACTTACGATCTATTATTCGTAGAAAAGATATCGGGAATCATGGGACCTGTGGAACCTCTTCTCCTCTGGCGATATGATCGAAGGAGTCCGAAACCGCCAGTGTAAGAACGGAAGATACTATCCTCGTAGTGATGATGGCGTAAACGTTTGGGGTGTATTCGATGAACTTCAGGAATTACCTTCAGTCGACGGATTTAAGAGGGGATTTCAGATGATAAAGTTTTGGGCACCGCAGTTGGGTGATGGAAGGCTTGAGGCGTATACCGACTGGGAGGAGAAGATTGAGAAAATATTCGAGCGGGAACCATCGTGGAAGACGTTTATGCCAAAGGATTGATGGTATAGGGTTAGGGGTTTAATAGTTAATCTTGACTTTCTTTATTTCTCGTTGTCTTATTGGTACCAAACTGTTTCATACATGAGTTCCTTGGTTTTCCTGGCACTCAACACGACAAGTTGAAGACAAAAACGCCGTCGTAAGGTCCCGGATGATCGAGAAGGTTTCCTTAAAAACTTTCAGTTCGCGTACTGCGCTAGGCGTAACCTCATTACTTACCGACAAAAATGTTTGGAACATCATCGATGGTGCATCGTGCGGCTGTACTGTCTTGTCCTGGAAGAGATGCACTGTTTAGTTTCCTAGTCAGTGGACCAAAAGGGGAACTTACCCGGACAAGCATTCCAAGCCAAATCTCCCGTGATGTGGACTTCTCCTTGGGGATGGCGATAGCCCAAACCTCGTCCTGTGAATACAAGGCACTATCATCAGCGTGATGAACACCTATGAAAAGACGGCGAGGTCAACCTGGTATAATGGGAATGAAATCATCCCTTAAATCACGTTAGCATTTCTTTGTACCCTTGAAAGGTGCAAGAAAGCGCTTACTGATTGGTAATCCTCGTCAACGAAGTAGACTTATCCACAAGATTCGCGAATTCGGGGTTCCCAACTCTCGGCATACCATATCCGACGGTTCGGATGTCAGCGTTAGGTAGTTGTACACGAAGGTAAACTGCATCGATGAGTGCGAGTGCTGCGCCTAAAGCATAGAGAAGAATGATCGTTAGTCGCGTTCTAGAGTGGAGATCAGGAAGGAGAAGCACCTAGGGAGTGTCCGACTGTGGTAATTTTATTCGTATTGTTGTCTGCCATGGCCTTTTTTACTGCTGCGAGGATCTCCGCTGCGGTTCTACATAGTATAAGAATACAAAAGTCGACAGAAGAGAGACGATTACACGTACTTCTCCTGAACATCCGCGAATCCGCTATGCACTTTCACCGAAGAGCTTATTCCAGGGAATAAAGACGAGCTGAGCGAACGAGGGAAGAAACGAGCATCTGTGCAGAGCGCTTCGCTGATTACAGGTTGGGTATTAGTGGCGATGCTTTGTTTTAGATTGAAACCGCGTAGCTCACATTTCCGTAGCATCCGTGCCTTGATGTGCCACGATGACGCTCTAGATTATGCCAGCAAGGTGTAAGATCTATGCGCGACGTTTTGGAAACGGGAACTCACACTGAGGGATGGGGAGAATCCGACATACCCTGATGCAAGGAAGTGTTTGAGCTCATATTCTTTGTACACATATGTTCACTCTACTTACAGAACTGGACCGAGGCTCCATTACCACCAGAAGCGATAGGCTTGAAGTCCTTATTCGCGTTGCAGTTCGCTGGAATGCGTGATTAGGTCATTGATGCCAGGCAATGATCTGCATAAGCTTGGCATAAGCACGTACATCCACAGTTCCACTTCAACGTCGTAGCAGGTGGACAATATCCTGCAGCAGCGAAGAACGACAGTGGCTTGAACGCAGATATTTGTGCCGAGGAGAGTGTGGTCACGCTCTGCCGAGTGTTGAGAACCGGAGTAGCGAGCGCACCGAGTGCAGAGAGTAGTGTCGATACGACGGCGAAGGTCTTCATGTTACAAACGTGAAGAGACGAGGACTTGGGGTTATAGGGTACTTCGCCGAGGAGGACACCCTGAAGGAGAGAGGAAGGGGCTGAACGGAACCAGCACATCTATCATGTCAAAGCCTCGCTTTTATGTGATCATCAGAGTACGGAAACCAATGTGGGGGAAATGTGGGGAAACGTACATATGAGCATCTCCGATCAGCAATTGTATGAAAGCTTGCTGGCAGCCATATGGGTCATTGTATCATGGGATCATTGAAGTAGAAGACGAGAGATGAGAGGAGATGAGTGCCAATGCACAATCAAGCGTGCCGAGGTGGAAGGTTTGTACCTGACAACGGAGATATGAGAGGCTAAGCGTGACTGCTAGCTGGGTAGAAATCGGACAGTGTCCAATATAGCGAGACTACGATCACTAAGGCCTTGAAATCGAGAAAGCCCGCAGGAGATTCTTCCAATTGTTTTGTGTGAGTTCGTTGAGGTCTTCTGTCATTGAATATTGTGCAGATCTTGATTGCGAAGCAACAAGATCATCACTGGTAAGCATATGATTTTTTGAACAACAAATCGCAACGTACATCAGATGGGCAGTGTCATAGGCCACAAGCTTAGGTGCGGAATTAAGGGCCGGTGCCTATAATGAAGCAATGGACGGAACTAAGCAATGAAGTCACGACAACCAATGGGAGAGGCAAAACGCCAGAGCCCAATCGTGACAGCGTCAGAGAGTGTTTGCCCCGCTCCGGAGCTAGGCACGTGAAGGTAGGCTTTGGTTGTAAAGATGCAGATAGCCTGGTTAGAGCAGGTACGCAGGAGCATAGCGGATATCCGAGGGACGCGAGACAAGAATGTGATTTTTAGACAATGAGGATTGATGATCATGGGATGCCCAGCTTCCAAATGTGTAGCGAGTCCTGTGGTGTTATCTCCTGCGGAAGGTATACTGCGAAACGTCGGCGAAAATAAACGTTCTCTGAGAGATTGAGAATTTCCTGAACGAAAACCCGAGTTAGATTCCTTGGTTGAAGATGATTCGCGTATCTCACAAAGCGATGCGTGAAGCTCAAGGTATTGACTCGTTCACCATCCCAAACAAAAGGCTTTAGGTTGGCTTTAGGGTAGTAAACTAATAGACAGGGTTCAACTTTGGTAAGGAACGTGTACACCGCGAAATCTCACACACCTAAGCTCCGAGTTTCTTCGTGACACCCTGGTTCACGCTCACAGAATGGGAGATAGAGAGTCAAAGAAGAGTGAGTCATCGTGGAAGAGGAAAACTTTGCGCTTGCGTCATTACATCGAGTAACGCTGCCCCTCAAAGAACCGTCCACAGACACGTGGGGTGAATGCTTCTGGTCTCCAAGCTGCGTTTCCTTCCTTCGGCCAGTCTCTTCATTTATACGCTCTGCCTTTCAATGTGTGCTTCCTCTAGACACGACACTAAATTCAGAACCAGACTGAAACCTTACCACATACAGTACCAAAATTTATTGCTAATGCCCGCCTAGCTCAATCGGATAGAGCGTCAGACTCTTATGGGCATAGAGGAGAAGCATGTAATCTGAAGGCTGCGAGTTCGACCCTCGCGGTGGGCTACTTACTCCGAAGAGAGTGTTACGGATATTTTTGACAAGATGGCCAGCGAACATTTCATTTGTCTAGTAGTCAAAGTAGTACCCGGAAAAAGGGACGGATATGATGGCTGGAAAGCCTTGTGATTAAGATGGTAAATCGAAACCTAACATAGCAAATGCTACACGTTGATAAGTGATCGACTGAGTAGATGGATGAATTTCGATACTTAGGACCTTTCTGATGTTAGCATCCTTGATTACTTTGCGACGTAGAGCGAGCTCTAAGGAAAGTGACCCTCCAATTTCTTTACCTCCAGCTTGGGGATGTGTCGAGTGCCCTGTAGGGACCCGGTTGGAGATGGTATATTTATGCGTTGCAATGTCTTTGAGAATTCATCGTCTTTCTGCGTATATTTCCTGAACATTCCATGATCTACGGTAATTATCTGGAGTGAGACTGAATACCTGAATACCGGAGTGTGTACTACATGCGGATAGTCTAGAGCACATCAGCCGCACGCAGCTTTGGTATACCTAAACCTGTGTCGAGGGCTTGCACGATGATCTCCATTGCTGATGATCAATCAGCTATACCTAGCGCTTGCACAGGACCTGATCAGAGGCGTTGCTTTGACAGATCTGATAAGCGTGGAAATTTGGAGCCTAGACCCTGGTACGTGTTCCTAACGTGTCACTTCACGTCAGGTCCACGGACCTCAACTCATTACCGCCTCGTCATCGTTTGCGACGACGACAAACCACTTTTTTGCACTCTTCATGACGATCCTTAAATTTTCCAGCGGAACAAAACACTCTCGAGATTCTTCCTGACTATCAGCCTGTAAGCTTATTCGTCGTGCTGCATGTAGCGAAACCAAAGCGTTTTTATTTTCAGGTCGTGGAGATATGTTCTCGGTGGGAGGGCTCGATGACTGTCCGAGATGCATTGAATACAAGTGAGTCTCTCTGATAATTCTTTGTGATCTGTCGCTCAAACGTTCATGACCAGCAGCGTGTTGAAAAACTTTTATTTTTTGAGATTTTCAGCGAGGATCCTCGAGATTGGCAATGTTAGTGGTGGGCACTCTGCGTTTGTCTGCATATTTTGACTATACTGAGCACCCTTTCGACTATCTAGTATCGTCTCTCTCTCGCCTTTCCAAGTCAAAGGAACTCAACATTTCCGACACTCCATTGGTCTTCCTTGTCACAGTACACAGGACCTGTGGATGCTACTCCCCCTCGAGGCCACCCTCGGCAACGGTCGCAACGCCTTATCCAAATTCACATGAAGCCTTCCTAGCTCAAGCTCAAGCTCTCCATCACCGAACCGTGACGTAGCCCAAGGCTCTTGCATCCACGTCGCCCCGCCGCACGAATGCCTCTCGCTACATCCACTGCCTCTTCCATAATCTACCTTTTTTTGGCAATGCTCGAGGCGTTACCTTTCCTGTACTCCCAACCTTCTTCATCCATCCGATGGGTTTCACGGAAATTACTGCCCATTGACTGCCTAGTGCTCAGCCGTCCCTGCGACACCAAGGCAGCCAGGCTATCCTTGTCACTCCTCTATTCTCGTCCTCCACTTTGAGGCCCCCTTCCTTTCCTCATATCATTCCCCGACCACAGTGCATACCTCCCCGCACTACCGATAATTCCCGTTCCAATACCCGGCGCACCAAGGCTGCTCTCCATACCCTGTCGTATCCGCACAGTCGTCCCCCTCCTTCATCTCTTGGGATACCGCGAACACCTCTATACCCCCCTGGTCTCCACTCCCACATATCATCCTCAACCAGTACCAGCACTATGAACCATGTCCACCGTAACTCCATTACCTTCGCTTACGATACCGATCCTATTTCTCGCCTCTTCACCTTAGGCAGCTAATGCTTCTCTATCCCGTCTACTCAAACGTAACGGTCATTCCCTCACCCATGTACCCGCAATATCATTGCGATACCCGGTGTTCCTTCAGCATTTGGAGGCTGGTGCGGGTTCCATTCTTACCCGTTGAAGGCAATAGCGGATGCGTAAGAGAGTGAGATGGAGCATACCACCACTATCACGTACTCCCTCGTCACTGCCTTTAGTTACACCTCCACACAATCACCGCTGGTTTCCGTACAGGTGGACAAGGATCCTGGGGGCGGGAACCCTTGGTCTGCGGTAGAGCGTTAGGACAGGGAAGGATATCAATAGAAGGGCTAGGTTAGACCAGTGGGACATTTACTCTGGATCCCGTTACTTGCGTGCGTCTTCGTTGTCGTTTTCATGGTTTCTTGGAAGCACTCATATTTCTTTAGGACGATGCCATGGTAACAAGCGTTCCTTCGTGTGATATACCGCAAGCGTTCGGTCTCGGGAACACTATGTTCCATGATTAAATGTGCAGCCCAGGATAGAAGAACGAGCAAGACGTTTACACGCCCAGTAAACCTGGCGCTATCCTTCCTCGAACATCCACTCCTGTTTGTAGCTGACAGTGTTCTTCATGTTGGCTCGATGGATGGTGTATATCAGACGGGTTGAGGGAAGGAATTGAGATTCCATTTCCATGTGCCCCATGGCTGAGTTGGTTACAGCGTCCGACTGTTACCTCTCCCCTTGGTGATGACCAACAATCGGAAGGTCGTGAGTTCGAGCCTCACTGGGGCAGTCATTTTTTGCGCACTCCATTTTGCGACTGCTCATGTGCAGTGCTATCGTCTCTCTTTACAAGGGGTCTATGTATTACATATGTAGCCTACAATAAACTCTTGATATCCTTGCCTCCACGTCGTTTCGACGTGTTCCTTTGTATGATCAACGCTAGTTCCTTCTGCGCAAAACGCAACGAAAAGTGAATGTGGTGAAGGGCTATCCTTTTGTTTGAGGTGCTACCAGGGCTCAAATATGTGGCTTTAGTGACAGGATAAAGATACCTACAATGAGACGTTTATAATGGATGTGCGGTACACTCAAGCGTCCCCCGCGTCTTGATAAAATGGCGATTCCTCGTCCAAAACCGATCAACTAGGGTTACCTTTGAGCAACCGTCATCAGTTGTCGCTTCCTTGTCTATACGTTGCTCTTTGAAGATCGGGGTGGCTGGTAGTCATCGCAACGACTGATCGTTCCTAGTTTACCACTAACACAGCTTCCAGTGGCCGTCCAGCTCTTATTCATTGTGCTTCCAGACCGATCCATGTATAAATACAACGACAGCAAAGAAGGTGGGATATACAGCCTATGAGTCGATCAACACCTCCGAAAAGGGAAAGCGAATGTCGAGAAACATACCACTAGGCTCCAAAACACGATTTCGACTATAATAGCGGCCAAGGACCAACTGAAAGAATCACCGTATTTAGGCTCCAGCGTACCCATCAATATTCCACCGACGACCTAAACCCCGGAATGAGGACAAAGAGAATGTTCAGTCTAGACAGCTCACCAGTATGAGGGTATATAAAATACCGCTTTCCAATACCAGTACCAGTACCTTCTCATAGCGAGCACGACGACTTGAAGCTGAGTTTAGATAGGCATGTACAGCCGTGAGATGTAGCCTAAGCGTGAAATATGAGCACGAGAAGTCGGAGCTTTAGCATCAGTCTCCTGATTACACACCAAGTGTAATACCATAGAGAGCAAACCGTCGTTATATTGGTGCTGAACAGTGAGTGCGTAGAGAAGAATCCTTGCGGGTTCACACATCTCTAATCGATCCGGACCTCCAACTACATAGCAAGTAGCCAAAGCAATTTCAGACACTGAAAAGATAATCGAGAATGTGCCATGTGAGCAGCGTGGAAAACAAGAAAGCGTACCTCCAGCGAGAAATAACAACACACCGGGGACGAGAATCATCTTCTTCCTGTCTTCCCAAAGCACGAATACGCGCCAAAACATAATGGCGTCTCCGATGAGACACTAAAGCATAAATAGGTTATTAGTTATCGCCCAATAATAGGAGGAACATTTCATTTACGTTCATGAAGAGGATGGTCGTCAATACAATGCGTACAGTATTGGGCTTGAGAGCGAGCTCCTTCAGATGAAAGACACCAATCCCAGTTTCATCAACGAGATTGCCTCTGATAACAATTGCCGCAGTGAAAAGAGCGACCGGTACTGCGGATAAGGCAAGCATGATGATCGATGTCATGAGAAGTAATGTTTGGGCGCTCGACCGAGATGACTGTCGAGTACTATTGAAAGATAAATATTAGACATGAGACGAAAGCTGCCAAGGTAAATGAAACGAAAACTCACTAAAAGAGAATAAAGATACACACTAAAACGCAGTGCGCACCTGGTAAAAACTAAACATTGAGACCATACGAGAGAAGAGAGAAGAGAGTACCAAAGGCAAAATGCGGATATCTGCAGCTGGATACCTCCCATTACAATGCCTTGGCCGGCGGGGAGTAAGTTTGTGTCTGCATCTGGAGAAAGCATGTGTTCGGAGGCTGGGTCCTCGACCCTTAGTTTTATAGATGGGGGCATAGGCAGTGATTCACATACCGTATTTTATCGACTAGTCTTGACTGTGATTTCGTCATACAGGAATGAATGTTGCACGCTGAATGTTGCACGCAAAGTCGTAGAGAACGGTACTTATTCGCCACCGAGAACTCGGGGATGTCCGAGCTTGCTCGGTGATTTCGGTGCACAGCATTCTAAATAAAGCAGTCCATTGTTCAACGTCGGGATGAGCGATTGGGTACGAGTCTGTGCTTGACACAACCTACTTTTACTGGGTGATGTCCAATGATGTTGTGTCAACCGTTCCACAATATTCCCGTCTACATATCAGGCAATGGTTCGGCTGGGGGGGATCAAAGAGCATGGGATAAATAGTGTATTGAGACAATAATAACGTGCTGGTGGAATGGTTTTCTAATGCCTTGGACTTGGAGTTCCAAAAATTAACTCGCAACTATCGTAGTAGGTCATCAACTCATCTGCTCTTCCTTCACCGCTAACGGTGCAAAGGGGGCTCCCATTTCGTAGTTTTCCCAACTAGCTTCCGCTTCCTGTTTCATTTGAGCATGCATGAGATCAAATTTCTGTAGCAGGTCAGCCATCATCATACGAATTTCAACAGTGGCCAAATACTTACAGCTTTGAGTTCGTCAGATAAAATGTTGCGAACGTCGATCTGAGGCTGGGCAATAGGCTCGTCGAAGGACAGGAATGTAAGCGAACTATGAACCAGAATTGCATCAGTCCCAGGCACTGAGTGAGAGAATGGGGTTTACCTATCGTTTGGCGACGCAGATCCATCTAGACCGCTTGTAAATGAACGGGAAGATTGTGTACGAGGCCGAGAAGAGGTTGCAGGCTTTGATTCTCCGTCACTTGTTTTCGTCTTTTGAGATCGGGGCTGGGCCGTCTTCCGACGCTGCTTCGTCTTCGCAGGAGAAGTAACGACAGGATCTTTCGTTGCTGAAGGCTTAGGCTTCGCGATGCGAATGAGCCTTGGAGAAGACATCCCAACAGCAGAGTCGGACACTGTCTTCTGCAACCGTCTGTTCGGTTTAGGACACAACATCTCTACTGCAACGTCACCGAGAGTGAAGGGTGGTGGTGGGGGCATACGAAAGGTAAATGACGATGAGTCGGAGGGTATATGTGCATCAGGAAGTGACATGCGTCTATTGGAGGCACAAGAGGTAGGTGTTTCGTCGGGATGTGAGCAGTCGACCGGTTCAGTGCTGTAACAAGAAGCAATCTGGGATCGTGAATGGTGAGAGTGAGAATGCGAGTAGAAGTCAGGGGTATCTATTGTTGAGGGTATAGACTGCGAATGAGGCGGAGAAGGGGAGCCATCTGATATATCATCGAATTGAGCAGGGGTGGTGAGTCTGAATGATTCCGGAGAATTCGAGGGTAAGGAGGCGGTGGGTGTCGAGTTACGTGTCTTGGAAAGAAGATCCGAGAGCTCAACCTCGTCTAGAGGTGAACTAGGAGGATCCGGCGATGAATGTCGGCTGAGAAGTCTATCCATCAGGCCTGGTTTATCCCAGTCTCGCAACATCTTTCGAGAAGGGTTGGATCCGGGAAAGATCAATGCGGTGTTTTCAGGCTCTAAGGGGACGGATACAGTATTCCTTCGCTTGTAGGTTGTTGAGCTGTCTATCCGTCAAACCGGCTGGGCAACAATCCTAAATTACTATACACACCTATTCTTCTGAGCGCTTGTGTGAGGACCAGACCGAGATTTATTGAATTTGACTTCAGAGACTGCCTCCTTTGCCTCTCCAGACACCATACTATTTCTTCGCCTCTTGCCTCCCCGATTTTGCCTTGTATCCACCTTCTCCAGGCGAGCTTCCGAGAGCGATATTCGTAAATTTGAGGCTCCATATTCCATCCTTGTGGTAGATATGGGATGAGTTGAGGTTATATGAGCCACGCGGACGGCATGCGGTGATGGTGGTGGTAAGAGAAAAAGAAACGCGAGCTGATGTCATCTGGTCCAGAGAAAGCAACTGTAGGTAACGTGACCGTGATCAAATGGCCGAGACATTGTTCGGCAAGGTCCGATACTCCTCTCGGGCTACCTCCATCATATCACAGCTCGCTTGCCCTAGCACGAGTTCTCCCGACCTCAATGACTGGAGGCATTTGAACATATTTATCCGTGCGGCTTCAGCTGGCAGATGTCTATCCTGGTTTGCTTTTCTCCACCGCAAGGGTAACGACACCCACCGAAGTTTAAGCATTGCACATGAACAATGGCAATACCGTTGAGCAGCTCAGTCTCTTGATCTTCGGGAAAACTTCGCATGCCTGGGTAGTTATCAATATCTTCTGGAGGCTTTATACACCACCTTCTCTAACGGGGTCTAGATTCTCCACGCTTCAAGTATTTAAGGAGTGAACATGTGCCAGTATTCAAGCATCATCGCCATGGTATCCCATAAGCTGTCAGTCCTCTCGCTATTGGTATCGCTCTCCGTATCTACGTGGTCCAAAATAATCTATGCCGGTGTAAACGAGGTAGAGCTTTCAATCTACTCAACCCATATGCATACTAATATCTACAGTCTGGAGGCGAATTTGCATCTCAAAATTTACCGGGACAGTTTGGAGTAGACTATGCCTTCATTAACAAGGTAGCTCTTGATCAATGCCTCCGGTCCTCTTTCCGAACTGATATTCTACTCAACAACAGACTGCCGTCGACATCTTTACAGACCAGGAACAGATTAACCTCTTTCGAGTGACCTTCCTGATGGAACGAATGTGCCCGCTAGAAACAGGCTTGGGAAGTACCTTCAATGAGACTGTGAGTCCTAGTTTTCAAAACATATCTTATCCACATTGACACTTGCTAGTACTTCTCAGAATTCGCTGACGCGGTCAACTACATCACCACAGAAAAGGGAGCATACGCTATTCTCGATCCTCACAATTATATGCGCTACAAGTTAGTGACCATGATGAGATGTTAACCGGTAATCAAATCTCTACTTTTTTACAGTGATCCATCAATGCAACCATTCAGTGGAAGCGTCAGTACGCATCCGTTCACATTTTTACAATCAGTTAACTTCCGGGAAATAGGTAATTGGCAACAGCTCCGATCCGACTGCAGCCACCACTGAGCAGTTCGGAGAGTTTTGGACTGAGCTGGCCAGTCGTTTTGTTGACAATCCGTTCGTCATC